CATTTTGATTGCTCCCAGTTTGGGGCTCTTACGATGAATGCTACTAGTTTGGGCTGTAATGCTGCTAGGAACATTCTTATACTTATCTTTTAATGGAGATAAGCACGACTTTCTCTCGGGTACTTTGCAGGGATTGCAATTGCCAAGTCATAGGCTTTGCATCCACAGCCCTCCGTGGGATCGTACCAGTTTGCACTCCCCCCAGCATCGTATGGGAGATCCATTTGTTCTCGCATTTGTTTTCTGACGCCATTGACAAGACCAATTTATATTTTTGGAAAATGAAATTCCATTGATTTTATAATGTTAATCCAGTTACTTTTCATAATGCTAGAACCAAAAAACATCTAGAAATTTTGAAAGGGAATTTCAAACACAGTCTGAAAAAATTGGGGGACACATCAAGTATAATAATGGTGGTAGGCTTTTTGTGATTGTCTGTAACCATCTGGAGAAAGAAGTTCTTTCAAAGTGTAAAATGCAGCCCGCATCACCTTTTATTCAATAAATGCCTCTAGAACAGAGTGACTTCTCACATTCAGGAGGGCTAAATAAACTTAAATTGCTCTCAAAGGTACAACAGTTGACCAGGCGCCATCGCTCTCACCTGTAATCCCAGCACTTTGGGAGGCCGAGGCAGGAGGATTGCTTGAGCCCCAGAGTTTGAGGCTACGGCAAGCTATCATCTTGCCACTGCAGTCCAGCCTGGGAGATAGAGTGAGACTGTGTCTCAAAGAAAGAAAGAATATAACTGTTGTTTTTGGTGGAGCTTTGTGACCTGTTCTTTTTTTTCTGGTCATATTTTTGTTTTTCTCTCAAAGGAAATGTATTTTCTCTTGAATCTAGAGGCAGTCCATTTTCTCTTCATCTGTGTATTTATTGATATAGATATATTCCAAAGACTGTCACTAAGAATGTGTATCAAATTATAGTGTTTATGAAAAATAACAAATATTTACTAAACACTCTGCACAGGACGTAATGCTAATGCTTTCCATAACATTTTATTTGATTGTTACAGCAACTTACAAGGAAGATACTATTGTTTCTCGGCATTTTCTAGTGAGAATGTTAAGGCATAGAGGCTAAGTAACTTGCCCAAGATCACACAGGATTCGAACCCAAGTGGTGTGACGTTGGGGCCCGAGCTCCCAAGCAAGATGTTATGTCACCTATCTGTTTAGAATAGCAAAAGTAATTTCTGTTCCCATTTATCGTATTGGTCCCATTTCTGCGTTTTCTGGGGTTTTTAATTTTTCTGTTGCTGCAGCCAACTACACAGGCAAACAAAATGAAGAAATTTAACTTGAATCTTTGAGGACTGTTACACTTCTGAAAACTGCCTCCTGAAAGATCCGAACTAGCCAGTTTGGCCATCTGTTTTCATCTGCGTAATTCAATCTGCGTAATTGCTGTAATCTCTACTTGTATAGGTTCTGGTTTTGGCTTTATCCTTTATGAAGTTCTATTTGCTCACAGAGTTTTATGATGGAATTTAAAATAATCTCATCTGATGCATAAGTCGTACCTCTTAAAAAGGGTTCAGCATTCTGACAATAAGATGCAAAGGGATGTTGAATGTTGGAAAAGATGGGTAAGGTTGTAAATCTCTTACAAGTTTCCTTCATGAGGCATTGGTGAAAGGTGTTAAATTACTGATGAATACGTTAGAAATTAGACTTTCGGGGTTAGCATACTTTTCTGAATACTTACTGGTCATTATTTTAAAAATTGATTTCTTTTTCCTGTGGGTTTTTAGAAACCTGATTCCGCCTTGCCTTTTTCCTTTGTTATATTCTTTAGGGTCACTCAAGGGAAAGGATTAATGCCAGATGGTACCAGCAGATTCACGTGCAAAGGAAAGACAATTTTACATTACATGGGAACCAGCACGTTTTCTGAGTACACAGTCGTGGCCGATATCTCTGTGGCTAAAATAGACCCCTCAGCACCTCTGGATAAAGTCTGCCTCCTGGGCTGTGGCATTTCAACCGGCTATGGTGCCGCGGTGAACACGGCCAAGGTGAGAGGTCGGCTTGGGTTTCAGCTGCTGCCTTCCGCTTCCATTCAGCAGTGCTCTCCCGGCAGAGTGACATGGGCCCATCTGTGTGAATCCCAGTGACTCCCTCGACCCTGGTGGGGTAAGCGCCTTACGGACTGTCTTCCCTGTAGGTTACACCTGGCTCTACTTGTGCTGTCTTTGGCCTGGGAGGAGTTGGACTGGCAGCGATCATGGGCTGTCAGGTGGCTGGGGCATCCCGCATCATTGGCGTGGACATCAACAAAGACAAATTCGCAAAGGCCAAAGAGTTCGGAGCGTCGGAATGTATCAGCCCCCAGGACTTCAATAAACCCATCCAGGAAGTGCTCGTTGAGATGACGGAGGGCGGCGTGGACTATTCCTTCGAGTGCATCGGTAACGTGAAGGTCATGGTGAGTGCGTCGGCCTTCGCTGCTTTCTTG